CCGCAGGAGAAGGAAAAAGCGTCCGAAACGACCGCCGAGGAGCAGAAGGCTGAGGACGGCAGCGGGAAGCGGCCGGAGGGCCCGGAGGAGGCTGCGCTGCCGGGCGAGCAGACAGCACAGGCGCCGCGGGAGGCTGCGGCGCCCAGACGGCGGGCGGCCTTCCAGGTACGGGACACCGGGGCCCGAGGAGAGCCTGGCACCTGGTGCAGCCTGCTCTGGGCAAGAGGGGTGCGGGGCGAGCCGTGAAGCAGGTTGGAGAGACACCCGCTCTTGAGCAGCAAAAGGTGCGGTGGTCCCTACCCTGGCTTCCCGGCCAGCTCTGCACCGCGGGCCGGTCGACCCCAGGCAGCTGTGGCTGGCGGGCCGCCGCGGGGCCTCCTGCCTGTGGGAGCGGGTGGTGTGATGAGGCAGCCGGGCCGGGTGTTCTTGCGGCGCTGGAGGCTGCTCAGTGAACTTTCTCTCTGCAGTTTTTGGAGCAGAAGTACGGCTATTTCCACTGTAAAGACTGCAAGACCAGATGGGAGAGTGCTTACGTGTGGTGCATTTCTGGAAGCAACAAGGTAGTTAACGAGTCGTTTCTTGCTTCTGAGACTTGTAAGAATGGCACCAAATCTCTGACAAATCGGATGTTTTGGTACAAATTTAGGTACCTGTGCCGAACATCAGAGTAAATCTCTATAGTAACTGAGAACTTGCTTTTTTCAGGTGTACTTTAAGCAGCTCTGTCGCAAATGCCAAAAGGGCTTCAATCCCTATCGAGTGGAAGCAATCCAATGCCAGGCAAGTTAGATTTCTGTATCCTGGTAAAACTGCCAAAGTTTGTCATATACTCTAATACACTTGGTGAATTCGATGTTGGCTTTATCTGGAAGAGAACTTGCTTTCATCGAAGTACTAGGAAATGTTGTTTGGGAAAGGTGTAATGAGATAGGACTCCTTCCTTCTGCAGATGGCTTATGTGAACTGCTTTCTGTTCGTAGTATGTTATGCCTAGCTACACAAAGGATTTCATAGTATGTTATGCCTAGCTACACATAGGATAGGGTTTTGTGGTTCTAGGTGAGAAGGCTCTTAACAGCTAAACTCCACTGGGTTTTTACCACAAGAGCTCTTAATTGTATCAGCCCAAATGTGTTGCTGTGATGAAGGAGAACTAAATGTCAGATTAACATGGAGTGGGCACCTTTTGATCAGTTGCTGTGATGAAGGAGAACTAAATGTCAGACTAACATGAAGTGGGCACCTTTTGATCCACTACTAATATAATGTCTTGTTTCTTAAGACCTGTTCAAAGGCTCGTTGTTCATGCCCTCAGAAGAAAAGACACATTGATCTCAAGAGGCCCCATCGCCAAGAACTCTGTGGCCGCTGCAGAGGCAAGCGACTGTCCTGTGATAACACGTACAGCTTCAAATACATTGTCTGATCTGTGTGCCCTCTTCTGTTTTGCACTCTGTCAGTCTCTTGCAATGTTTTGACTTTAGGCTTTTGACCTGGCATTGGATAATGGATAAAGACTTTTCTATTATTTATAAAATATTTAACTTCATTGTATATATGCTGTGAATAAAGCTCAATAAAAGTTTGCACTAGTTTGTTACTCCTTTGTTTCACTTCATTGTGATGAAGGTCCATCTGGAAGGAGATGGAACCTATTTGATTTCCTAAACAAAACAGGTTTTGTGTTTGTCTGCCTGTAGGGAATGCTAAGATTAAAACTGCAATAGCAAGTTTTTCCTTCAGTCACTGAAACTGGGCTAGTGTGGAAGATGTGAATAAATTCTGGAGCATGAAGTCTAGGGTAAATGCATCTGCAAGTAGCTCTTCCCACTGCCTCTGTCAAATGTGTAAAAATCAAAGACTATGCCTGTAAGATATGAGGGGAAAAAATGTAGGCTTCATGTGTTTTCCAAGTGAGGAGGTGAAAAACCTTTTGAGCTGGGGTATCTGTGACAGAGTACAACAAATTCTCTAGACTTAACGTGTCCTAAAAGGGGTAGGACAATCTCTATGCCTCTAATTCAAATAAATGCTTCTGCTTCAGAAGCTTTCTGGTCATTTAAGGTATCTCCAAGGTAAGTGGCTTAAATAGAGTAACCAAATGTGCTTTCATGGAAACAAAATGCAATTAGGGGACTCTGAATTGAAGCACAGTGGGACATGATTAGAGGGCTGGAGCACCTCTGCTATGAAGACAGGCTGAGAGAGTTGGGGCTGTTCAGCCTGGAGATGAGAAGGCTCTGGAGTGATCTTACAGCAGCTTTCCAGTACTTAAAGGGGACCTACAGGAAAGCTGGAGAGGGACTTTTTACAAGGACATGTAGTGACAGGACAAGGGGCAATGGCTTTAAACTGAAAGAGGGGAGATTTAGATTAGATATAGGGAAGAAATTTTTTACATTGAGGGTGGTGAGGCACTGGAACAGGTTGCCCAGAGAAGTTGTGGATGCCCCATCCCTGGAGGTGTTCAAGGCCAGATTGGATAAGGCTTTGGGCAACCTCGTGTAGTGGAGGATTTCCCTGCCCATGGCAGGAGTTGGAACTAGATGATCTTTAAGGTCCCTTCCAACCCTAACCATTCTATGATTCTATAACTGAAGTTCATGTTGTCTTAGGGAATATACTGATTTCTGCTCTACCTGGACCTTAGAAATGATGCTAAGCAAGCTAGATGGTTACATCATGGGTTTTGTTCTATCTGTGAAGAATCATTAAATACTTCAGGTTGGAGGAAACCTTGGGAGGTCTTCATACTCAGTGGAGGACCAATTGAATCAAGTTGCTCAAGGCAGTGGTTAATGGATTGTACTCTACCTGCAGGACAGTAACAAGTGGTGTGCAGCAGGTTGTCTATTCTGGGACCTGTCCTGTTCAATGTCTTTGCCAGTGACCTGGAAGAGGCAACAGAGTGTACTTGTCAAGTTTGCAGGTGATACCAAATTAGGGGGATCAGACAATGCAGCTGAGGGCAGTGCTGCTGGTTGGAGAGATCCCAGCTGACTGGAGAGATGAGCCAACAGGCGCCTTGTGATACTCAGCAGGGAGAAGAGGAAATTCCTCCCCCTGGATGGAGAGAAGTCTTTAGAGTGATAGAGACAGGGAGCTGCCTGGCTGCGGGGCAGCTCAGCGGAAAGTGCCCTTGGGGTTTGGTTGGCAGGGAGCTGGGCACGAGCCAGCAGTGGTCCCTGGCAGCAAAGGGCAACAACATCCTGGGCTGTACGAACAGAAGCAGAGCCAGCAGAGCAGGGGAGGCGATTGTTCCCCTTTACTCAGCGCCTACTAGACCACATCTAGGTTACTGTATCCAGTTTTGGGCTCTCTATAGGAGAAATGTTGATCAGCTGTAAGGAGTTCAGTGGAGGCCACCAAGCTGGTCACAGGGCTGGAGCACTTGCTCTGTGAGGAAACGTTGAAGGAACTGGGCTTATTCAGTGTGAAAAACCAAAAACTTCAGGAGGACCTAACAGTAGCCTGCCAGGCTATGGTTATTTGGGAAAGACGGAGGCAGGCCCTTCAGTGTGGCTCATGGTAGTGGGCTGAGAGGCAACATACATAAAATAAAACAAGATAGGTTCAGACTGGATAAAGGAAAAGCTTTTCCCCTGTGAGAAGAGTCAAGTAGAACAGGTTGTCCAGGGAGGCTGTGCACTTTTCATCCTTGAATGTTTTCACGACCAAACTGGATAAAGGTCTGAGCAACCTGACCTGATCTCATGGCTGACCCTGCTTCAAGGTGGAGACTGGACTAGATGACCCCCTTCAGGTCCCTTCTAACCTGGATTTTCCTGTGATTCCGTGATTTGTAAAATATCCATAATTTTGCCAAGTGATACAGCAGATCTCAATTTTTGCCAACCACTAAAGTTTTTGCAGACCACGCCAATTACATTTCTGAATAAATCCATTTTGGATTTTTTTCAGTTATGAAACTGGTTTAGTCAATGTACTCTTCCTGGTTGAGTTGTAACTATAGACTGACAAAAAAAATCCTTACATTTCTCACTGGTTTCTTTCAGTGTAATGAACAGTTTCACCATAAATGATGAAAAAGGTGTCTTTTGAGGGCTGCCGATCATGGACACCATCTGCAACAGCGTAGATTCCGACAAGAATACAGCCATCACAACAAGCACGTACTCTGCTGTGATTATATATGACTTTTATATTTAGTTAAATGGATGTACTGATCCAAATATCAACCAAAGTTACTTCACAAAAACGTTAAGTGTATTTACAGAGTGAATAAGTTACACAGTTGTCAGAATAAAAGTGTCTCAGATGTGCAACAGATTTACATGCATACATTTAACACTGGACAGCAGTTAAATGTAAGAAAAAAACCATACAGGTATGAATTTTATATATACATTACAAATAAAATAAGACATCTCTTTAAAGAAACTTAACATGATAACCTGCATTTCACGTTAATATTTTTACTTTTTATACTCAAAATTTATATTAAATAAAAATATGCATGCATAACCGTTCGAAAGATCTGACTCTGTGGTGGGACTTTCTCCTACAAAATGGCAAGTTAAATTAGATCAACCATCCTTTAATAGTATAAATATATTCATAAAAGCAACCCTCTAGTAAAAAGCAGCCAAGGTCCTTTAAAAAAAAAAAAAAAGAAAATCTACCAAGACCATTCATGATGCTTGGGGGGGCCTAAGAACAGACCTCTGCAATATGATCCAGTACCTTCAGAGACAGTAGCCTAGTAACATTAGGAAATGTACTTCATAGCAGCTCGTTGTTTTAAGATACAGTAATCATATTCAAATTACAGTGTACATTAAACTGTAGTCCATTTACAATTTGTTTCATATACACAGGCTCTCAGCTTTTGACCAACAAGTTTGTGAGATTCTGTGGCCAGCTTCATTCTGCCCATCTTTCACTCAACCAAATAAGAGAAAAAAAAAAAACCAGAAAAAATGTACAAGTTTTCTTTTAACAAAAAATATTATTTCGTGAAGGAAACATTGCACTTCTGCCAACCTAAAATTAATTTGCTATAAAGGAAGTATTGTTCAGTGTAGTAGGCTTTGGTATGCAATGGAAGTCACTTCTTCAGTAGTGAGTTGCAGTTGCTCAGTGAAATGCTAACTGATTTTTGTGCAACAGAGAACAAAGGATGTCGTCCCGGATGCTCTATGCTACCTTTGTCCTTACAGTATTGCTACACGTTTGAAGTTCAGCCCATAGCTTTTTAGAAGAAATCCTAAACGTAACAAGAGCCAGTACAGTTTGACCAAACCTTTGTAAGGCTGAGAAGACATTGAGCCACCTCACTCCAACAGGGCAGCACTCCCAGCTTGAAAGAGGACACCAGAGTCCTGTCAGAGACTTGTGCCGGAAATGCTGGAGTCTGGAAGAAAAGTATTGATGACCCGGTAACTCTGAGCTCTGCGAATCATGTCGCGGATCTCTATGTTCAGTTCCATTAATTTGGTACAGATTTCAGTCAGGCTCTGGTTGGAGCCCACCAGTGCATAGGTGCCCGTCTGACCCAAGGTTTGGTGCCGGAAGTAAATGTTCAGTAGTGTCTGGACTTCATCGTCAGAGCTACTTCCAAAGATATCATTGGGCCACAAAATCCTGCAATCAAACAGGAAAAGAACACGCGTATCATTACGGGTTTATTAGCACAGACGGAAACGAGGCGACAGCGATCTCTAACAGGAGAACTGACTCGCACACGCTTGTAAGCCAAAAGCAACTCACTGTTTTATGCTACTCGTTTGTTACTCGGACTCTAGGATCAGGCACAGAAACCACATAAAAGCGCAATTCCTATTATCTAAAAAAAAAAGCTTGAGAGCACTCACTCAAACACGTGAAAGTGAAACTGGGCTGAACGTTAGCTGATGCCAGAGACACACACCTGTAAGGAATTAGCTCTATAAAAAGATTCTTAAGAGCCTCACAGAAGTACTTTCGATCTACGCAATGTAATTAAACATCTCGGTGGTTGCAAGCAGACATGTTTGTATTACTGATTTGACATCGTTACTTGTGGAACAGCCCTGCAAAAGTGAATAATATCAACGCCCACATATACCTTGTTGAAACATCACAAATTGATTATGCTGACTCAGCATGACATTTAGTTTAAAGTCAGGAAGATAATAAGTACATACTTTTCTAATAACATGAAAGTCTAATATGAGCCATGTAGCAAAACTTGCCTGCATTCTCTTATTTGTCGGACGGCTTTAACAAGTTCATTGTTTTTCAAACACTCCAGCATGGACTGAATAGCTGCTTCCGTTGAGTTGAATGTGGGCTCAGATTCCACCGTCAGAGGCTCAGCTGCGATTGCAGCAGTAGCATCCTTCAGATTTTTCTTCAGCTCACTCAGTTCCCTTGACATATTTAACAGCTGTTCCAAGGAGAAAGGTGAGAGATGGGTATTTTCATTCTCCATAGGCACCAAAGGGAGTAGGTATTTCAAGTCTACTTGAAATTATTACCGCGTTGGATGTACACATTATGGAAAAGACCCCGTTTTAACACAAGGACATTTCTTAATCTCTGTGGTGCTCTGTACAACATCAGGAAAACACACAACTACAGAGTTTTAAGCTTTATGCTTCCTTTAACCCTATGCTGTATTTTTGGCTTGCTAAAATCCAAGAGTACATCTAAACAATCTTTTATTTTTTACCCCTGCTCCTTTTTCATATCATAGTGGAAAAGTTTAAGAAAACATATACTTCTCCTAACAGTAATGTTGTTTATTTACAAAACACATGCAGGATCTGATATGATTACCAGATGAACAGGAATTGTATAACCGTTTGTCAGGCCAAAAAGTTAATATGGCACAGGACTCATAAATAACTCATAAGTGAACAGTTCATTTCTAAAGATCTATCTTTTCATGCTTATACATGCTGAAAATAACCACTATCACATGAACTAACAATGGAACTTCCTTTAAATAATGGCTTATGCCCCCAGCAAAATATGATGAAATAGATATTCCTCCTATTATTGTTGCCCAGTTCCATAGTCATGGAATTATTTATAACAATCTAACAAAATCATACCTGTGAAATACAGCTAGAGAAATCAACCCTCTTGTAAGGAACACAAAATACGTCCAAAATTTAGATAGAGTACTCTAAGACTAGATGCCTACTGTCCTGTCTTCTCCTAAAAGTGAACAGCCCAGTCATAGTACGAGCCAGCCTTCAGAATGGTTCCTTCAGAGACAAGAAGTATTCAAACTCCTTGTACTGCCTTATCAGCTGCCTTTATCAGCTTATCTGATAAAACAAACCATTTCTATTTATAGAGAATCTGGAAACTACTAGAACCTGTAATAAGATACATTTTAGAGCTCAAAATTTTGTTTTACAGCTACAAGTAAAGTATAGTAACTTTTACCCCTCAATAGTTTAAAATATATACACCTTATCAGGAGAAAAATACATATGGAATGGCAAGTTATTTTACTGTCTTTCCTTAAATGATAATCATTCAACTTAAAGTGATCACTTCAAAGATACTTCAAAATATTACACATTTTATCCAATTGCTGAAAATAAACTTGACTAACAGTATTGTTCTTGTGAAGTGTTTTTTAAAGTAAGATACATAGATTTATCTAAAAACAGAAAGCTACTGGGTCAAAAGTGATAGTGTGCTGTGCCAAAAATATTTAAAGAAGAAAGCTTGTAAAAATCATAGAATTAAAAGGACTTATGACATTAAGGTATTTAGTTGATTATGTTTTTAAAATAGATTTACTATTTGGAAACACTAAACTGATTTTGATTCGTCTATTCAGAGAACAAGACCAGGCAGCACACTTGCAGTCACAATATAAAGTAGCTCTACACTACACACCTTTGCTTGCTCAGGTATGAGAGGATGCAAAATCATTTAATAGCTGTTTGTCACAAACTACTGCAGACGTTTCTAGTATAATGCACATTCAAGACAGTTTATATGGCTGGAAATTACAATACATTATTCCAGCAAAAACCTTAATTTTGCATCCATACTAAGATTAATTTATCAAATTATTTCGTAATCGTCATGCTAACAAATCATGATCTAGGGAAAGGATATTTTCAGTATGTGTGAAGAAGGCTCATTTTCCCTAAAATTAAGACCTCAATAAAAATAAAAATAAGAATAAAAATAAATCACTCGCAGATGTTCACATAGTGTGAGCCCTCCCTACGTGTAAAGTGTGTGAGTGAAGATTTCATCTATCATTCTAGTTTGTTTTCACTGACTGAAATGACTTTTGAAGACTGAATGTATCAAAGATGCCAGTCTCTGAAAGTACAGTCAATTACAAAAAATACAGCATCTCGACTATATTTTAATGTTTTAATGCAGTTGCTGGTGTACTGAAGAGTTTTGTATGAGGACTTAAATGCAGGGTGAAATGGTGTAATGTTTGGTGTAGGTCCATAGAAAGAAAAATAAGATCATGAAAGTAAAGTGGTATTTTCAGTGTGAGACTTTGTAGTTTGTTACATACCTCTGGCATGGAACTGACTTCATGCACTTGTCCAATAAGTTTACAGTAGGACTGAAAAAGCAACAGCAGCTGGAAGTGCAGTTTATATAATCTCTGACACAGTTCCAATTGCTAAGGAAAGATTTGCAGGAGAAGAAATAATTAATTAAGATCAGTGAGTTGGGATAATTTTCAGTAACTAATAGAACACATTGAGCTAGGTCAGTTCTCATAAAACATTATTTTACTGAAGTAACATCATAGACTATTTCAGAAAACAAGTAACATTCTTTCTTTTGCAGGTAAGTCATATACAACACCGAAAAACAAAATTATGATGGCTCACTCTCAGTAGCACACGTCAGCATCAATCTCAAAGCAGTTTATATAGGTTAGCTCACTGTCTCCAGTTTGCAGCTGGAAAGCAGAGGCAGAATATGAGGGAAATGACTTTGCTACATAGACCACAAAACTCTAAAACTTCAGAAATGCTCAAAAACCTCTTCTGAGAGGATGGAAATCCAAGAGAGAAGCAGTGAAGTAGTTGTCCAAGAGGGCCAAAGCTCCTGCCTGCTTCTTTGAGGGGAGAGGAAGAGAGGCAATAAATCCAGCCAGGAGCAGGAAGGAGGAAACACCAGCTCTGCAACTTAAATCTCAGCTCATGGATTTTCCACCATCTTAAAGAAACCATACAACAGATGGACAGAGTTTCATGTGTATGAGGCTATCTAGCTTCTGCAGTTTATTCTCCCAGATTAAGCAGATACTGTTCTATGAATATTAACTTGTTTCTGCCAGTGTAATGTGCAGCATCTCACAAAAAGTGTCAGACACATTGAAGTAACATGCGATGGGCACGTTTGCCTGAGAAGTCAAGTTAATATGCTTATGGTCCTGGTATCTGTGTGTCTGTCAGGAGGGGGAATCTCATGATTCCATAGCTGGATCACGGTGAAGAAGGGAAGAATGTTTAGTCTTTGGCAGATATGGAAGAAGTGAAAATTCCGCAAGTACAAGTCAGGAGGCCTCCTGACCCCTTGGCAGGAAAGCCTTAGAGATTTCAAACCGTATTCGATTTGTCTTCTCTTACAGACACAGTGACCAAGGGTGGGCTCAGTTATCTTTCCGTTTGCTTGGAGGAACTGGAGCAGAGTTTCATGCCAAACACAGCAGAAAAGAAGAAGAAGCTATTAATGTCTTTGCTTCCTTTAAGCACTTCACACACGCTTAGCTACCAGCAGGTACTTCAGCTATTTGCTGTATTGGGGTCTGTGGAAATGCCAGCACAAATACTAATAAAAAGTACTTTAAAAACATTATAAATGTTAATTTGACTGAAGTGTTTATTTACATATGGTTCAATATTTAAGTGCCCTGGTTTTTATTAATAAACCAAAATTAGAACCATATCTTTAGCGTTCCAGTTCCCAAAATTCAGCCAAAGCTGAGGTCACAAGGGAGGTTCTTTGGCAAATTTCACTTTTGTTCGTCAGGGAGGAGTGGACACCAATTACCCATCTACGAACAGTCAGCCAAAGGCACTGCCAAAACCAGGTAGAGCTAGTCTCCTTCTGAAGGACGTTTATGGAGGAGAGTGGGAGCAGGAGGAGAGCGCCAAGCCAGCGGGCACCAAGCTGGTCTGCTGAAGGCCAGGCAGACAGGGCTGCTCGCTCCTCTGCCTGTAAAATAAACCTGCCCAGAGGCCATTCTCTGTAACTGAGGCCCTGGAGCACTGCCAAGCTTGCAGCTGTGTGGCTAACCTGTCTCTTCTCAAAATAAAGAGTGATTGTTTGGATACAACCTCCTGGAAATGGCTCTGGCTTCTGTCTTCTCTCTTCTCTCGAAGCATGCCTGGGCACGTCAGGGGCTGGCTGGCACCCCAGCCAGGGAAGGTGGCAACCAACCACCCCTGACGCCAGCCCCAGGACAGACACTAGCTGCCTGGTCCTGTTCAGTTCACCAGCAGGGACACAGCCCAAGGGTCTCCAGTAGGGATCAAATTCACCCTGTTCAGATTTTGGAGAACTCGCAACATTACGTAGCAGTTACATACACATATTCTTGAAGCTGTCCAGGAGTTAAAAATTGATTGAAAACCAGGACACAGCATAACATGATTGAAAATAAAAATCTCACGATAGCTTGGCATGTAACACATGATTTTTTTTAGTCCTTGGAGAACAATAATTCATTTTCACCCTTCTGGCTGCTAACCTGAATGAAGGTCAAATTGAAGACTCAAGTTTGACTCACTCAGTATTTAGTTACCATATCAAGCAACTCAATTTTTGTTCTTCCTGAATGAGTATTAGAAACCAATCATGGTGAAACTATGCATCAACATATAAACAAAACCAATTTGAAACATAACTGTCAACTATAAAGTGTAGTTTTCCCTTAGGACAAATCGAAAATTGTGAATTTTATAATAACAAAAAATTTTATCTTCCACTCCAGCATATTATATCAATTCAAAGGCTTAATTTTTTAAAATTTATGTAAATGACCATTGAAAACAGCATGTGAAGGTGTCAGAATTTTGGCACAGTATTTTTAGATTTCACAAAACACACCTTAGTAAATTATTTTAGTCACTGCATGTAGAACCACATATTCTACAGGAAAATTATAACGAAAAAGGAAAACATGCTTAGAAGTAAAACAGTAAAATTGGGATGTATTAGTCCATCTACAGATGGACAAAGAATATAAAAGAACTTCAACTTACTGCAAGAGATTCCATTTGCTACACAGCAAGCATGGCACAGGAGAAAAGGAAAGGAAAGAAAGTATAGTGTCAGTGTAATGCATGCAATAGGAAGCACAGCCCATCTTTAATAGCATAACTTGTCAGCAGTATTAGCAGTGCTTGCCTCAACCCGAAAACTGGTTGGAAATAACACATACAACATGCAGAGCATTCTTAATAAAATCAAGCTTTAATTCTACTGGCAAATTCCAGTCTAAATATCCTCAGTTAGATCTTCACATTTATTAGTTTTGATTTATCCCACTCAGTAGCTCAGGAACTTACAGTGAAATTGTGTTAGAAAACTCTTGAAATAATACTTTTCTTTAAATTTGCTTTTTTTTTGTTATTAAAAAGAGCTCATATTGCAAAGTGCCCCAAAAATTAGGCAGGGTTTTCAAGTGATGAACAGAACTGAACTTTGTTATTTATAAATATTTTGTTATTTATAAATCTATTTTTGGACATAATAGATCTAATGAAATTTCCAGCATAAGCTTTGTGACTGCTGGGTTTATTACTTGGCACATTACAATGGAAACATTTTGCATGTAACTTCTAAGTTATGACTATCATAAGAAAAAAAAATTCCATGGAAAATGCCAGTTTGGTTTCACTATATGGCAATGACACATGTTGAGACAGCTTTGTATTCCTTCCTCTCACCAGTAATGATTCACTGATTCAAAATTCTGGAGCTATTAAAATGTCAGTATAAGTCCTATTGCAATAGTAATAAAAATTCCAATTGACCTACAGTAGCATTTCAAAGATTAGGGGACTAACTTTTCTCCTCAAAAAATTCTTCCTCTTTTATTTGCCAAGAACTAACATTTGCACTCTGTGTACGTCTAATGTAGCTTTCCTTGTTTTATATATATTACACTCATGACATTTTAGATGAACAGAGTCATCATGTAACTGCTGTAACTAATAAACACAATGACATCTGCCCAGTTACAGCCTGATGTCAGTGTATATGGACAGAGCGTTAGTAAACATTTGGAATTCTTAATTAAATGATTAACCTTACCATCAATAAAAAGGCAGCAAACCCAGAAACGTGAAATAATGCTAACTTTGTGCAGTGTGACAACGTATTTCAGTCTGGCTTCTTTCCATGGGCCTTACTACTAAAAATGTATGAAAAGTATTGTCCCAAATCCTCCACTACGCTTCTATGAAACCATGACAAACTAAGCTTTAAGCTCTTGTGATGTTTAATTTTATGCCTTTAACGTTGCTCAAATAGTTTTTTTTCCTTCTATTTAGTACTCTTGAAAAAACCCCTTTGTATCTTGGCTTCCATGCAGTCCATGTAAATTAAGCTTTGTAAAGCTAAATTCAAGACAAGAAGCGTACAAGAGCAGACAGATCATGGTGCTCTAGTAAATTCACAGGTGTGCTGGCTTGTGTTTTTGAATATTGTTTGTCTCTGACTTAAGCTCCTCTGAAGTTTAGCATGCCAACAAGTTGCCCTTGGACTTTCAAAAATATTGGACTCCACATATAATTTCTAATTTGCCATGGAACTTACTTCAAAGAAGAGGGGGAGGGAAGCAGCAAATGAGTGAATTCCATGGTCTTTTTTTCCAGAAAATACTGTCTTCTCTGTACGCTTCCAAAACCAGGGCAAGCCAAAAAATTACATGAAAAACCCTTCTTCTTCAATGAAAGGGAATATACTGGATACAAAAACTCCCTAAACTACTGATGCTCAACTCCACATTGCTCTACAATTTCATAATTGTAATTTATCTTCCTTTATCTTTCAGCATAAAATGAAATATTCCTTGGAAGTTGAAATGACACTAATTGTTGGACTAAATCATATTTATTTTAGTCCCCAGCAGCAAGGGCTCAGGTGGAATGATCCTAGCCTTCACTCTCCTTCTCAGTTTCTACTTTAATTCCTATAGTAAGGGAAGTGTTGTTTTAGATTCATCAGCAGACACCACACAATTAGTGGTTTTGGCAGCTGAACATACTGAATGTTTACAGAGTACTTGGATCACTTGCACAGGCCTACATGCAGCTAGTAAACGCTACACCTACAAAGGACACACTCCCTAGCAGCAACACTTCAATTTAGTTTTTTATTGAGATACAGAATTTCTGTTCCGCACTATTAGCAGACCAGGAAGATAGCAAAGTAGCAATCTTTAGATCACTGGCCTTCTTGCTTTTTTCAAGGAATCATTTTTACATACTGAAAAGAGATGAGAGTTACACAATTATTTCTTAAGACATCAACACTTTGATGGCAACACAGTCTTTAGTCATTTATTGGCACAGGAGAGTCCCACCGTAACAAAATAACTGTTGTGTGCAAGGGTTTTTAATTACGAGTGTAATTCATTAAGGTTTTCTATTTGACTTGACATTCCAGCAGACAAAAGCTTTTCCTACAATCTAGGCAAGTGGTATATAAATAAAAATCTGTGAATATATATTTATATCAGAGAGAAAAAGAGAGATACAGCGTATGCTGTGCATTCTTAAATATCCACTGGACTTGAAGGATATCAAGGCCAGGTTGGATGAGGCTTTGAGCCACCTGGTGTAGTGGAGAGTTTCCCTGCCCATGGCAAGGGGGTTGGAACTACATGATCTTTGAGGTCCCTTCTGACCCTAACCATTCTATGATTCTATGATAGTAGAAACTATTCTGTCTGGAGAAATCTAAACCACAGCTGTGTTCCTTCTTTAGAAAAGCTGCTGACTTGGGCCAATTTTACCTCATTGTCAATCCATGGATCTGTCACACAGCATTCAGATAATTGATAATTGATTATTAAGATTTTCTAACTTAACGATGAGACTCACTGTGCCTTGAGCTTTACTGTAACTCAACTCCAGATGACTATGTTCCTAAGAGGTACACCTCTGATCTTATTAGTGGTCTGGAGTAAATGAACCTTTAGCCACAGGGAAACCCATAGAAACAGGTACATTCTAAATTTTTGGAAAAAATTTTTATGGGGTGCAGCACGTTTTAAATATCCATTAACAGTTTGAGTTTGCAAAGCCCACATCCATTAGCCTGTGGTGAACTTTGGGATGAGCAAGATTTAAGGAAGGTGTATACTGACTTTGGATTTACAGAGTAAATTGAATGTCTCATTAGGACATAAATACTTATTTCAATTAGCAGTGCTAATTGACAAGGAAAATAGGATCTTCCATGTAACTCTCTTCCAGAAAAAAAACAAAACCAAAACCAAACAAAACCAGTCTTTGGCTAGATTAAAAAAATCCCAGTTCAGTAAAGTTGAAGAATGTGCTGATAGCTGTAGTCACCTAAGACTGTTAACACCTGGACAGACAGCACAATAGTACAGGCAGTTCTCTTTTGTCTACAAATTGCATCCTATGTCCTTGAGACTCTGCTGCTTAATGTAGCATCAAAGCTTACAAATCACAGACACATTCAAATCATGTGATCTGCTGGAAGAATAAGGCGGAGAAAGACATTCTGGGACATGAAGCAATTTCAGAAAAGTTGCCAGCTCTAGTAGCTGACTCAGACAACATCTATTTCAAGCTTCTTTAGTGTCAGAATAAGCAATTTTTTCCTTTTCCCGTTTTCAGTAACAGCAACAATGTCAAGAAATCATGTGCCATCATTTTGAAATAAGATCTGATTAGAGAAACTAGTGCCAAGTTAGTTACCGGCATCAGCAGGCACTTGTGATGTAACTGCTCGTGCTAAAGCCAAGTTTAGTCTTACGTCTCTCTTGTCTGTAGAGGGGACTGTTTTCACCTCAAGCTTTTTACCAGATGGGGAGTTCTGAGACTCTAAGATTTCTCTCCCGTCTGTAGAGCAAGGTGTTGCTTTTTCTTCCTTAAAATAATTTCTGAACCTTTTCCAGAAGTAGGCTGGTTTTGTGCTTAGCTAAGCAATTTTTGAATGCGAGAAGTTTTCAGCAGGGTTTCAGGCCCTAGTCTAACCCTCAGTGAGTTTCAGAGTTTAGGCAGGTTCCTTTGTGACTCCCACTATAAGACAGATTTTTTATTTCCTACAATTATTAGACTCTTTAGCCTTTCAAGTTCAGGGAGGAGAGGAAACATAAGAAAAAAAATACTTGCCACTCCAGGAGTAATTTTGCCTTGTCCCTTTCTAATCACATTTCCTCAGTTTCCCTGGACTCTTCCTCCCATTAAATTTTTGTTGAATAAACAGAATGTTCCTTTGGGAAGAGCTGCTTCACTTGGCAGGTGAATAAGAAGGGGAAGAAAAGAAATATGCCTCTTGATCGAAGACCTACCATCCTGTCAACTTCCAAGGAATAATGCATTTTGAGATGAAGGAAAAAAGCTGGGGAGAGACCAGGGATTCCTGCAGCAGTGAGAAACCCTTCTTTTCACTGTTTGATAAACAGTAAGAATACTAACCCCAGCTTCACAAAACACACATTTAATGCTGAAACAGAGAACATCTAATTAAAAAAACCCACACAGGTGGAACACGACATTTATTAACTTTTAGATGCATACAGACCAGCTATATGAGCTCACATCACAGTTTATTCCTTATCCTCAGCATTCTCTCTCCTCTACTTTTTCAAAAAAGAAACAATGTAGATCATCAGTAAGATATGTGATACTCCATCCCATTCTATGGGTTTGCAAAAGAGGGATGAAGAGGATAAATTCAGCTGTATACAGCAAGGTATGCAACACTACAGTCTGAAGTCACTGTTCAGGGTGTTGTGCATCAGTGGGAAGAGAAAGCCCAAGCGTGTTCCCAGAGTTACACCTCCCTACGTACATTTTATCCTGCTACCTCCCTACGTACGAACTCGCAGGAGAGGTAGCAGGATACGTTCCAGGTCTCTCTTTTAGATTCAAGAATAGCTCACTTGTAACTACTCTGTACACCATTACAATTACAGAAGAGACAGCAGCTTATTTAAATGCATTGGAAGGTGTCTGTAACTTCTGCTGGTGCCAGTGCCAGGTGGGGGAAGATTGAACAGTTTTCCCACCGCCTGTGATTGCAGCCAGAGGATTTATTAGCAAATTAGATATGCTAATAAGGTCATGGAAGGCAAAATGCAGGGTGGCAAGGATTTAGGATTCTTGGGAAATGGCATAAAACCCAATAGAAATAAGGGAGTTCAAAGACAGGAAGATAAATACATAGAGGTGGGAAAGAGAGGCGAAGATAAAACCAGAAGAAAACAAAGTGAACTGGGGGAGAAGACCGACAAACTGAAACCAATATAAAAGAAGGCATTTGAGAAAAATGGTTACAACAGGCCACCGCGTGTTCTGAAAATGTCATCATTATCTTTATAGGTTAAAATACATGGAAAGAGCAGATGTCACTTTTTTCTACATGCTGCTGCTGCTTCCTGATTTTGGCTAATTCTCGCCAGCCCCCTCTTTTTCCCATCCCTTCATTATTTTTCCTCCAAAAGGAAAAAAAACCCACAAAATAAAATTTCTCAACTCATTCTACACCACTAAGATACCAGCTGTTTCCTATATGTAGTACATGAAATAACAGGAATGGCTGCTGATGGTGCTGATTTCAGAAAAGATTGATTTCTTAACTTGAAATAACACACTCTCTCTCTAAATATATCTTTATGTGTATATATATGTGTGTGTATGTGTGTGTAACACTTTAATTCGAAAGTGATAAAGAGATATTTTGCCTTAGGTATAAATATTCATCTACAGAATAAGTTATTTCACTGGCCTTTTTACAGTCATTATTTCATAACTACTAATCTAAGTGGTTTTCAACCTGGCAAGACTTGCTGTTGGGCAGACCAAGTAACAGGTGTAGATAAAATGGGTGTAATGTGGAAGCACAGTACACTAGGAGTGATTTTCAGAGACACTGTGTTGTGGGAAACTGCTGCTGCAACATCTTTCTAAAAGGGAGAGCACAGACAACCCAGGCAGGGTTAGCTCTGCTTCCTCGGCCAGATTAGGAAGGCAGAAGTACTGCTTCTGAATGCTTCCCATTTCCTGTGGCCAGGACTGAGGCAATAACAATACCTTTGAGTCTGAAGCGTGAAAACTGGATTATGCCCAAGCCCAGCAGAGAAACAAGGAAGTACACCAGGCTCCTGTGGGTCCGAGAACAAGATACATCACACACGTCACTTTACAGGAGGGAAATAATACTGCTCATTCATTACCTTCTCTTCTGAGTCCCCTGGCTGGCAGGTAATAACTCCATCCCGAGAACCCCCAGCAAATGTTGCTTTGCAGTTTGCAAGCCACTGTTTTCAGAAAGAAATTAAAAGAAAATATGAATAAGGGCTATAGTTTGATTTGCACAAAGGTATGCAGTATTTTAGTTTCACAGCACGTAAACAAATAACATTTTGCAATTGTACTTTTTATTCACACAGACTATGATGATTTGCTTTGACTGTAATTTAAAAAGTGTAGTCTTGATTTCTATCAGAATTTGAATTGCATAAACCAAGAAAATGAGTTAATTACTGAACAGGAGAGAGACCAGGAATATTAAGCATGCCAATATTTTTAAAAGTAAGGGATGCAACAGCCATTTTTTAAAGTTCTGGTTCATATGTTCAGGAGGGAATATTTAGTGGATCCAGTGTCTGAAACATGTTTTTCAAAAGGATATTAGTTTAAACGGGTCTGAGTGGTCTGAGTGTATCTGCAATGTCCTGACATAGCTTAAGTATACATACATACAAAACCAAGAACATAACATAATCCAGCATACCGAGAGTGTTGCTTCCTTCCTGTTATTGTAAGTGTCCAGGTACTCCTGAAGTTCTAAAACACTGAACTTCAGCTTTTCAAGAAGGCCGCAGGAGAGCAGCTGGAGAAATGAAATCAAAAGAGGCAGTAAATGTCACTATAAAAAAATAAAAATGTTAACAGAGTAGAAAGTACAGTAAAGATCCTGCAAAAGAATACTTAGATTTACAGATACCAATACTGAAAAACATTTATATTTATGCAAAAATATACATAAATACAATGCTATACTGAAAATTGATTGGCAAAAGTTGCACTTATGATAAAGTAGAATTGAAACTGTGCTCTGTGTTTAACAGCTTTGCAGAGGACTTCCCTAAAATAAAATACTGCACAGAGCTTAACTAGTTAATCTCGACAGCCCTCTGATGATGTAAGGCACAGCTCTTCCACAGTCACAGCAGTGGGCCCAAGATTACACTTCACAAGTTCCTACCTCTGTACTTCTGGGTGAGGCCACACGGTCCTTACGCTGTTAGATAAACGTGGGCCAGAATGAAAACAATGGGACGGGTCATCTCATTCATTCCCTAATACGTGTTTTTATCATCCGGCTCACATCACCACTGGCTCGAATGAAACCACTAAACATGTTACCGTCTTTCATGCTGAACTATGCAAAAAACAGCTTCTCCTTTTCCGCTTGTGGAGCCAACTGGGTCCAGTAGGCACCTGTTTTATATTGGGTTTTGGCATACAGGCTCAACACATCGTATTGCCCATCTGCCAGTGCTTACCTAATAAAATATTATGGAAAATTAACAGAAATTTGCTTAAGAACAAGAGACAAAAATTAGAGATAGGAGGTGGGTACTTTTTTGACATATCTATTCAAGAGTTGCCCAAAAGTGAAACAGCCAGTAGAATAACACACTGCAATGCAGCACATGCCTTTCGAAAGGAATATACTCACTGTTTCTGCATCTACAAAAAGGGTGGGACATTCTGAACATGATGTTAACATCTGAGAAGACCTCACAAACTTGGAACCTATTCCTCGCAGGTTGTCTCCCAAATAACTAGCTGCATCGCAGGTTAGGAAGCAGAATCTTTTCTGAATATTCTGTAAAGCAAAATACAGTTTATCACTTTCTTTACTCAAGTACAAGCTTCATTCCTTTGTAAACAAATGGCATGCTTTTTCTTCTTCGCACGATAACGTGCAAAAGAGACCATCTCCCTGTGGAGAACTGAACGTCTGCTCAAGGATACCGAATGAGAGTTACTACGCTGGAGACAGTGTACAGCTGGGCAGCTGTGAAACGAATTACAGAATTCATAATAATCTACTACTGAAATACATTCTTTCTTGTAAAGATGATTCAATTGTTATAAAGCCTTTTACTCACAAGCAGCTTTTTTTTCTTGGCTGTAGAGAGTTAACAGGGTTGATCAGCACATTACTTTTTCTGCTCATTCCGGGTATTGTTCTGTTAGTATTCCATGTCAAGTAGCTAATCAGATAATATAATGGACACTCTAATGCCAAACAGCAGCATGGAAAAATCAGAAAAAAACTTTTGTTTTCCTATGTGGGAAAAACCTTCTTACTAAAACTTTCCTGCTGCTTGGGAGTACTCCAGAAATACTGCATTGCATCTGGGAATTATTGTCCTCAGAAGATTTTTTTGGTGTTTTGAGTCCTAAACCAGTGTAGTCTTCCAGAAACATTCTAGTGCTGGTTCTTTCTTTTCAGTGACTAACATATAGAGCAAATAATAAATAAAAACAATATTTTAGTCTTGCAGGAACTGAAATAGTGATATTGATAAATACACAGCAGGTTTCACTGCCAAAATATATCTCACTACAGCCAACTGCTCAACAGGTCAGAGTAACATGAAAATATTTTTAAAAGTAAAAGTATGCAGCACGTTAATATGATTCATTCCACATTTCCATAGGCATTTCTCTGAGGAAGGTAGGTTAGGATCTGTATTACTGTAAGCATGCCTCACTGGAGAGAAGTGCTTCCCAAATACCTATCTGCATGACAGACATGTAAATAGCCTGTTATTGCTCCCACACTGGAGCACTGAAGTTAAATTAGGTGAGGTGAATTCAGACTATTGATGATGGAAGCTGTGGGATTGAATGATTTTTTGAAAAAAGCTATATAAGCTCTCATTTTAGGTAAGTATATATCAATAATTTATAAAATGGTTAAGAGAAACTTCCTCTACAGACCAATTTCATAACTGCTTATTGGTGAATCTCTCTCCAAAGCATCTGAACTGGCCATGTGAACACAGTTAAGTTTGGATAGGCTGATACTTGTCTTACTATATGTTTCTACCACTTTACTTCAACACAGAAACAAAGTGCCATACACGTCACTCAGGACATCGTTCAGATTCTCTGCTGTACTGAGTCTGTAGTAGAGGCAAGGGGCTCTTACGAGTTACCACAAACCAGGTAAATGATTATTTTTATGAGCGACTAGCAGAATCACTTGAACCATAGGGCTTAGTGACAGTTGGAGATTTACTACTATGATGTCTTCTGAAAAGAAAGATCCAGTCCAAGTCTTAGTGAAACTGCTCCTGATGACTCTTCTGGCAAAGGAAAGAGATTTAGATTTGATCTTAACCAACAGAGAAGAGCTAGCTGAGAATGTAAAAGTGGAAGGAAATTTAGAAAGACAGATTAAGGAAGAGAGTCCAAAAGATGTTGGTTGACAGACACCTCTGGAGAACATGTGATCCAACCTTCAACTCAAAGCGGGACTATTGCCAATACTAGATCAGGTCAGCCAAGGTTTTGTCTAGCTGAGTATTGAAAGCTCCAAGGCAGGGCTCCCTCAGGCCCTTTGGGTAACCTGTTTAGGTGCTGCGATGCTCTCCTGAGGAAGAGAATAATTCAGTTTATGAATCTAAGGCAGTGAAGGAGACATTACAGAAATAATTCAATCAATTTTGATGCACTCAGAATTTGCAGGAAGGAGCCCATTAGAAACAACTTCATGGGGAAAGGAGATAATGAGAGGTAGTAATTTCTTCTGGAAAAAAAAGAGGGCAGATGCACATTCTATATACCACTGAAAGAAAGCATATTAAGACATACATCTGACTAAATTACAAATACTTCACTCAGGCAAATACTCATGCAAAAAAGAAGAACAGAAAGTGAAACTGTGTCGAATTACTAACTTGGATAGCAAACATAGCACGGCAATGCAGGCACAATAATCAGAGAGGGAGATGCCAAATAAACCAGTAAGAGAAGGAAAGAATGTCAAGAAGTAAACTAGAAATAACTAAGAGGAAGGCCAAGGAATCACAATGGAGAGAAATAGCTAATAGATGCTGCTGAAAAGACTGATGTGTTTAACACCTTTCTTTTGCCTTATGGCTCCCAGAAAGGGCATCTGTGCAAAAGTAACAATGAGACATCTATGAAAACTCAGGTGAGAACAGATCTTGCTAGTAAGTGCTTGGATATGTTTACAGCTTTTCAGATTAGGGAAATTCATGCTACGACAGTTATAATACTGGCTAAAGAGGTCTAGGAGCCATAACAAATATCTTGGGAGAGCTCATAGAACACAGGGTGTTGTAAAAAACTTGAGGAAAGTGCTTATCTCAAAAAAAAACCCAAGAGCAAAAGAATTAAACACGAAGTTCGAGAAACAGAGGAACACATAAGAGATAATTAATAGGCAGTATAGATTTGGTCAGAACAAATAATATAAAACTATTTAATTTTCATGAAAGGCTACAATTTTCTATTAGGAAGAGAAGAGATTAATATGTTATATATTAATTCAATTACTATCTTAGAAGTAAGGCAGCAAAACCCAATATAGAGGTAACTAGGTGTGCAAAACCATATTCAGAAGTTAATTATCAGCAGCTCATTGTCCAACTGGAAAGATAAATTGAGTAAGATTCCACTGGGGACTGTCTCGGGCACTAACAAAGTCATTAATGAAAATACTGAATAATGCAATAGGCAACCTGCTTATTAAATGAATGGATGATTGAGCTGCAAGGGCTGTAAGCTCACTGGAAGCCAGGATTAGACTTCAGACTGATCTCAATAAATGGAAGAAGCGGCACAGGGAAAAGAAAGGACAAGATTGTACACCTAGGATGAATCTAGATGAATCTACAGAGCACATTCAAGATGGAGAATAACCTTCCATCATATTTCAGAAGTCATGGCAATCTGGTGAAGTTCCCAATGATTGGAAAAAGGGAAACATAACCCCCATCTTTAAAAAGGGGAAAAAAGAAGACCCAGGGAACTACAGGCCAGTCAGTCCCACCTCTGTGCCTGGCAAGATCATGGAGCAGATCCTCCTGGCCACTATGCTAAGGCACATAGAAAACAAGGAGGTGATTGGTGACAGCCAACATGGCTTCACTAAGGGCAAATCCTGCCTGACTAATTTGGTGGCCTTCTATGATGAGGTTACGGCATTGATGGATAGGGGAAGAGCAACTGACATTGTCTACCTGGACTTATCCGAGGTATTTGATACTGTCCCACACGACATCCTTATCTCTAAACTGGATAGACGTGGTTTTGATGGATGGACCACTCGGTGGATAAGGAATTGGCTGGATGGTCGCAC